GATTACAATATTTCAGTTTATTTCCATCATTAGTAACAGTTACCCCTGTGGGACAAATAAAGTTAATATTAGTCGTATATTAATAAGAGGCTACTTCATTAACTTTGTTATTTACTATCCCTGTTGTAGTATTATTCATAAGTAAAAACCAACAATATATTTTTTTTCACCATGTTTCCAAATTCTCTACCCCAGGTCCAAAAGAAATGTAAAGAATGTACAAACTGAAAACATTCAATACTTTTGTGATCTATTTCCATTAGTTATTTTCAAAAGAGAAATACTGTCATGGAGGTCACCTTTTTTTAATTCCAATGGGAGAGATGGACTTTTGTCTGTCTTTTGTTTATTATTATTTTGTGCTGTATTGTTGGTTACTGTGTTATTTCTGTTTCAAAAGCCAGCAATAAATAACACTTTAATATCTAAAGAGTGTTCATGTGATTTTATACATTAGTAATGTTGGGAAATGAATAAATGCTTAATAATCGTCATAATCGTAAAACCGTGATTATTCCTCAGACAATAACCGTACCAACAAAATCTATAATCGTTGCATCCCTAACTGTAATAAGTATATAGTATATACATGTGGAACAGGACAGTAAAATAAAGTGCTATCCATCTCATTTTGCAAGTGAAATGAGCAAAATGCAAAATGGACCAGCAAAACAGCCTGTTGTGGACAAGAGCAGTAAGAGAAAGTTTGAGAAAACATTCTCACTTCCTGCACTGAACAATGGTGCTGCATTCAGGCACGTGCTGAGCCCATTCATCAATTTTATTCTTTATGCACTGAAAGCACATTTTTAGAGTCATAAGAACTATAGCGTTAGAGGTTGCTGTTAAAATCTTTCACTCACCCACTCTACTGTAATTTTTGCGTTTTAACATTAACTTACCTGCATATATATATATATACACACACATACATATACTGTATTGAGATATATATATATATATATATATATATATGAATGAAAATGCAGGGGTTTTTTTTCTCCTCTCTGCAGACTTGCAAGGTTGACTGCTGCTGTTATGCTTTGTAAAGATGTCCCTGTCTATCTATTCTCTACATATGTGCCTACCCCATTTGTGGTAAGAAAATGTTATTGATAGATCATAATAATAATAGTTATTATTATTATTATTCATATTATTATTCATATTATTATTATTATTATGTGTTTAAATTACAGTAGTAGAAGAACTAAAATATCCTACTCAAAGTTGTTATTTGGGAAGCATACTTTGGAACAATAATAATGATGAAAGTAGAACTTCTGTGGAATCCTGCGAATTGTTTTTCCAACTTTTTGCCCTCCAGCCATATGCTGTGATGAAGTATGGAGCTGCAGCTGGTGTCATGATCACTGCATCTCATAATAGAAAAGAGGACAATGGCTACAAGGTGAGCATCTGCTAATCCTATATGGTTGTGAATTTATTTATTTACAAAACAGAAATTATAAACAGTTTTCAGTTATCAAGGCCATTCCTGCTGCATCACAGTAAGACAATACACTTGGGCTAAAAAGACAAATGAAAGATAAGTGTACAATAAAATATAACCAATAATGAAAATTCTGTCATAATTTTGTCACCCTGAAGTTGTTACAAACGAACACAAAAGAACATATTGGATGATGGTAAGTGGTTTAGTCCGTGGTTTAGTTGTAACTGCACACTAAACCACATTTGTGTGGACATAAAAATCACTTTCCTAAAAATTATATTCTTTTGTGTTCTGCAGAAGAACGAAAGTCATACAGGTTTGGAATGACACAAGGGTGAGTAAATGCTGACAGAGTTAGGTAGACTATTTTGTAGGTTTATTTTCTACATCTGGTTCTCCTGAGAGCACTTGGAGATTTTTGCACATAGTGTGACTGATTAAATATAACTATAAAAATAAAATAATTAATAGTAATAATAACATTATTTTAATAAAACAATAATCAAAATAATAAAGTACAATGCTATTATATTTTGAAATAAAAATTAAGTGTTAAACAAAAAATTTTACACTTAATACATACAGTGCTAATATTTACAATAATTTCATTTTCTTTTATTTTTTTACTTTTTTATTTCTATATGAATTTTCATTATTTTCAAACCTAAAATCAGCAAGCCCTTATTTTAACAGGTTGCCGGCAAGTAAGCATATGTGCTTTCGGTATTAGCTGAAGCATGTCAGTGAATAAAATGTCACAGTTTTGCATTTTCTCTGAAACCAGCAGTGCATAGCCTAGATTTATGCTTTCATAAGTTTTTGAATGGAAATCTTGACTTATACAGTATTACAGTTAGTCAATCTAAAACGGTGATTGTGCATTAACAGCTGGCAACCATGTTGCTATGCAAATGAGGGGTCTGAACGTATTTACCCATTGGATTTTTTTATTTTGATCACACCTGTACACCACGTACATGAATCCCTGTGGATAACATATATACCCTGTGGATATATATATATATATATATATATACATGCATACATACATGCATACATACATACATATATATTTAGATATAAGAAATACCTATGTGTTCCAGCAACTAGCTTCCCATCTGAGAGGGTTTTTAGTGCCAGTGGGAACATAGTTTAATGCCACAGAGCTTCTCTTAAACCAGAGACAGTTGACAGACTTCTGTTCTAAACTAATAAACTTGTAAAAAATACTTATCCCAGTTTAATTATTTCCCCCAGTTGCACAGTGTAAATTGTGAATTGCATGCACCAAAAAAGTTGACAGAATGCACTTTCTGTACTTGTTTTGCGCTAGTTCAGTTACATGCATGTGTTCATTTAATAAAAAGCAGTAAGTGATCACTTGGTCTAGATTTTTTTTAACTGCTTAAATTTGCAGTAAACATTTTGTATTTACTTTGTAACAATAACTTGTATCTAAATTGTTTTTATTTATTTTTTTTATGGGGGCAAAAGAAATTGGTGTTTTTTTTATTATTTAAAAGCAAATGCAAACATATCGAGATATATATCGAATATCATAAAAATTGACAATATAGAGAGAGAGATCATTTTTTGGGAAAATTATTTTTTCACACCTCGCTTTTCAGCCCGATGAGCTTTGTAAAAATAGACACGTTTCAGAAAGGCGGGGCATAGAGGAGAAACAATAATGTACAGTATGTGGAAAATAATGTGTTTTTTGAACCTTAAACCACATAAACACATTTCAATACACCAAATAATGTTCTTTTTAGCAGCATCATATGACCCATTTAAGAGAAAAATAGTAACACAAGCACACACTAATATAATAATAATAATAATTATTATTATTATTTTTATTATTGTGTTAATATCAGTATGTGTTGCATCTACTGTACCTCAGAGAAGTGAGTCTAAGATGTTCGATTTATCTTTTTCAACTTTCTGAAGGTTTACTGGCACAATGGTGCACAGATCTCCTCTCCACATGATAAGGAGATCTTGCGTTGCATTGAGGAGAGTAGTGAACCCTGGCCCGAGTCCTGGAATGAGGACCTAGTTGAAAGCAGCCTCTTACGGAGAGACCCACTGGAGGACGTCTGCTGCTCGTACATGGAAGAGCTAAACACTATCTGCTTCCACAGGTGCAGTGTCTCACCTGTACTAAGAGAAAGTACTTTTAGTCTTTATAAACTGTATGCAAAACGAAACTGATGTAAACAAACCATTTTTGTTTTCCCAAGAAAAATCTTGCTGTAGGGCTGGGCAATATGGTTAAAAAATAAAATCTCGCTTTTTTTTTCCTTTTTTTTTTTCTTCAGAACGTTTAACCGATTCTCGATTTTTACGATTTTTAGCTAGTCAACTTGAAAATGTAATTACAACAAGATTCAAGTAACTTTTCTTTATTAACCCTCTATTTAAAGAAAATTATATTCCAAGTGCACCACACATGATGTAATTGTTAAACAAATGTCAATGTTGCATTTGCATTGATTACAACTGCATCTTATACAAACTTATAATAAAACAAGGAAAATGCTTTTAAAAAACTCTCAAAAGTCAAGGTAATTCAAATTCAAAATGACTGAAGGTACTAGAAAGTAGACTATTATTAACAGTAAATGTTCTGTAAAAACAATGAACAGCAGCTTTCAGACTGTCACCATGATGCAAACATGAAATATCAGACATACAGTAGTAGTTCTTTACAGGTTTTTTTATTCAGTTGCGCTGCTTTTCCATTGTTTTTTATGTAAACATGGATGTGTTTGACTGTTGCGCTTGTGTCTCTTGCAGTGTCTCATGCATGAAACAGCATTCTAAAAACGCAGCACTCAAGTTAAAAGAAGTTCACTCATATCTTCTTGCATTTTTTCCTATTCCACTGCCCGCGTCGCATCTTTGTCAACACAAAAGTGCGTTCTTTGTGAATGGCGCCTAGTGATATATTCTACTTATGGTCCTTCACAGAGCGCGTCACAAGTGGGCGTTAATCGTGTGCGCCGACATGCGGTTGGATCATTCTTTTTCTCTTTACTGTTATCAGTGGCATATTTTCAAAGTGTCTAATTCTAACGTTTGGTAATATTTCTATTCAAAATTGTGATGCCTTGACTTATAAAAAATTAAATCGTGGCAAAACATTACATTTGAATTAATCGGTAAAATTGGAAAAATCGCCCAGCCCTATCTTGAAATATGAAGTATTACTAAAAGCAGCATTTCGGTGCCATAAAGAACATTATAGGACATTGAGTGTCAAAAGGTTTTGTAGAATATAACATTTTATATCTATTACAAATAATTTTTGTGCACCATGAATGCATATATAATACAATATCATACAAAACTATTGTTTGACCCTCCTCATTGCAGAGAGCTTAACACAATGTCTCCCCTGAAGTTTGTGCACTCATCTTTCCATGGTGTTGGTCACAACTATGTCCAGAGAGCCTTTCAGCAGTTTGGCTTTCCACCTCCCATCCCTGTTCCAGAACAGAAAGATCCAGATCCAGATTTTTCCACTGTCAGTTGTCCTAACCCAGAGGAAGGAGAATCAGTTTTGGTAAGTTTCTTTCTTTTCAACTGTAAAGTTTGTTGGAGGAGGGATAATGGTGTAAGGCTTTTTTTGTGCTCAGCCCCTTAATTCCAGTGAAGGGAAGTCTAAATGGTTTAACATCCCAACACATTTTGGACAATGCTATGCTTCTCTTTGTGGGAAGCGTTTGGAAAAGGCCCTTTTCTATTCTAGCAAGGTCCATAAAGACATGGTTGGATGAGTTTAGTGTGGAAAAACATGATTGGCCCGCATAGAGCCCTGACCTCAGCTGCATCGAACACCTTTGGGATGAACTGGAATGGAGATTGTGAGCCTGGCCTTCTTGCGCAACATTAATATCTGGCCCTCCATTTACTGGATGAATGGACAAAAATTCCCACAGAAACTACAAAATCTTATGGAAAGCCTTCTCAGAAGAGTGGACACTGATGTAGCTGCAAACGGAGGGCCGTGTCTGTGTATTTAGATCGTGTCCGTGTCCGGTCCATAAAGACATGGTTGGATGAGTTTAGTGTGGAAAAACATGATTGGCCCGCATAGAGCCCTGACCTCAGCTGCATCGAACACCTTTGGGATGAACTGGAATGGAGATTGTGAGCCTGGCCTTCTTGCGCAACATTAATATCTGGCCCTCCATTTACTGGATGAATGGACAAAAATTCCCACAGAAACTACAAAATCTTATGGAAAGCCTTCTCAGAAGAGTGGACACTGTTGTAGCTGCAAACGGAGGGCCGTGTCTGTGTATTTAGATCGTGTCCGTGTATTTATATAACCCCCTTGGTTACGGTGCAGTGGGGGAAAAAAGTAATGCTGTACTAAGGCCCAATCCCATTTCTACCCCTTACCCCTACCCCTCCGTTTTGCGCGTTCACGTGAAGGGGTAGAGGTGTCTCGATTCTCTTTTGGTTGGAGGCGTAGGGGTAAGGGGAAGGGCCAGATAGCCCTTTAAACGAAGATTTTTCAGGACCACACTTCAAACGAAGGGGTATGATAATTATCTCAGCATACAGTGGCTACATGGCTGCCCGTAAACAAAAAGACCCATAAATGTAAGCATTTTTAGCATTATTAAAGTATAAATGAAAAAGTAATCATTTGTTTGATGTTACGTTCAATCATGTGTTCATATTCCTCAAGTCAAATTCCTTGTGTGTGTAAACATACTTGGTAATAAAGCTCTTCTGATTCTGATTCTGATATTACGGTCATGTTATTCAAATTATTTTTTGCAAAAAATAAATAAAAAATGCTAAATTTTGCTAACGTTACTGACTGCACGATAGTGCCACAACATATTTTCATGTCTGATCATCAGGGCGATGACCACCATAGACTTTGAGGGGGGGCTAAAATAAGAAATCGCTAAACCTTTTTCTCAAATATTGCCAATTCGAGAGAGAGAGGTGGAAGTTGTGTATACGCGTGTCTGTGCATATCTTTACAGTGAGTGATTTTACTTCAAAATCTGCAATTTTATCCTCTCGTTGCTGGAAAATATAATGCAGCGATTCAGTATTTAAACTGTTATTAATAAAAGTCGTGGGGCAGCGTTGACAAGTTTCTTAGCTCCTGGATGTGTTAGCTGCGCAATGTACTGTGTGTGTGTGTGTGTGTGTGTGTGTGTGTGTCAGTAAGCAGCGCATTAATATAGGTGTGTGTATTGTAGGAGCTACACGATGTATGATGACGTGTAACGGTGTAGTAGTGGTGTCACGTTTCTTAGGGAATTATTTTCACCCCTAACCCTTGACGGTCTGTTTCAAGGGACAAGGGGAAGGGGTATAAAATAGAATTGGGATTGGGCCTAAGTCATCATGCAGATATAACCACTGACTTGTGTTGCACTGACTACGTTTTAGGAACTGTCCCTTCGTTTGGCTGAGAGAGAAGAGGCCCGCATTGTTGTGGCCACAGACCCTGATGCTGATCGCTTGGCTGTTGCAGAGCAGAATGACAAGTAGGTTATCTTATGTTCATTAAAACCCTCAGCTGTAAAATGTAGCAGTATCAATTCTACTGAACAGTACTTCTGAACTCTTGAGTGAATCTTGTGGCGTATAACTTGTGTCCTATGTTTTATGGGTAGTTGTGGTTGGAAAGTGTTCACGGGAAACGAGTTGGCTGCATTGCTCGGCTGGTGGATGTTGTTTAACTGGAAAGAAGCACACCCTGACCCAGCAGATACGGAGAGAGTATGCATGCTGGCCACCACTGTTTCTTCCAAAATACTTAAAGCCTTTGCACGCATAGAAGGCTTTCATTTTGAGGTTAGCTCAAGTCTCAATTTGAAGTTATTACTAAGACTCAAATACCTTGAGTGCTTTGTTATTCTTACATATAGATGAAGATTAGAAGATTTTTGTTTGCTAAACAAAATACAAAGCCACTGCTTAATAGTTTAACTTCTTACTGAACTCTGATATTTTTACTTCACTCCCCTTCATCCTAGGAAACATTGCCTGGCTTCAAATGGATTGGAAATAGAATCCATGAATTAACAAAAACAGGAAAGGAGGTCATTTTTTCCTTTGAAGAATCCATTGGTAAGTGCATTTATCTGCAGACTCACCTAAAGTCCAAACTATGTTAACAGCCCTGTTTATTCTGTAAATATCGTGGGATAGTTTAGATAGTTCATCCAAAAATACAGAATACGTCACACAATCCGTGCTGTGTTGAAGTTTAAAAGGGTTTGTATTTATCAATTTGATTGTAAAAGCATATGTAGAAGAATGCCAACGTTGTGTCTTCGTCTTTATTTTGATGCCAGGGTTTTTGTGTGGGAACATGGTTCTTGATAAGGATGGAGTCAGTACAGCAGCTGTTGTGGCTGAGATGGCTGCTTATCTACACACCAAAAACCTTTCCATGAACCAACAACTAATCAACGTCTATGAAATGTATCTCTTCTGCTACTCTTTTTTTTTT